AATTGTGTCTGTTCCATCGATTCTTCATTCAATATCTCCTCTCTGTCAACAGCTCTCTCAGCCAGCTTGAAATCAGATCTCATTCGTGAAATAACACCATCTACATAATTTTTCGTAGCCATATGTTCCGTTGGAGGATGTCTTGAAATAAACTTTTCAATATCCTTTATTTTGCTATCAATCATTCTCAATGTATCAGTCGACTGCCTGATGATGGTATCCAATGAGACGAGTTTATGTTTCAATCGGACTAATTCGATGATGTTACCGCTGCTGCCAGCTGATCTGCGACCGAACTTGTCAAGACTCATCATTGATGACTCTCAGTATATAAGGTTAGCTTCACGAAGTTCATTAACGATTGCCACTATTTCATTATCGAGTGAAGTGTTTCCAGCTTCCTTAGAAGCAATGAGTAGTTTCAAGCGATCTACGAGTTCATTTGGATCGTCCCAATAGATATATTCCACGGGGTTTTCGTTGAACGTCAAACCACTACCAATCGTTGAACGCCTACCGCTGTTTTTTCGTATCTGTACAATAAGTGGCTTGATGACGTTCGTATACTTCCATCTCTTAGACCCTTTCAATTTTCCATCCTTGTTTATATAGCGATCACTCAGCTTCAAAATTTCCTTGTAAGCCTGCATGTCTTCATCGTTATAATCTGAAGGATCATCATAGAAAATGAGCTGATACACCCCTGGAGTTCCTCGTACTTGTTTACCACCAATCTTTATGAATCCAGTTCTTTTATCAAAGTCAATTTCCTGCGTCCCCAGAAACCATTTCGACGTTTGAGGATCGTAAGTTGGACCATACATCTGATCTATTTTGTCGCTGTAATCCCAATGTTCTCTGAGATATGGATGCACCATGACTGGGTATTGGTCTAGGTATTCATCGATTACATCATACGGAATACTTTGTTCTGGAGTGATATTTTCGTTCAACAGGATATCATCATCATATTCGTATTGATCATCATCATCCACAAAACTTCCGGTTCCACCCACCTCTTCCATTGGAATAAACTGCGTTTGCTGAGCCTGTTCTTCTTCTTTTTTCAGTTCAGGTGGCTCTTCTTTCTTCATACCGGTGCTGAACTGGGCTCTTGCCAGTAAATCACGATTGGCCTTTGACGTTTTCACAATTTCTTCCAATGGTTTGGATATGGGCTTGAACATTTTGTTCAGCGATTCGTCCTCCTCAGATTTACCCAGTTTCAAGGCCAAGTACTTTTTTCTGATTGTACGCGTGAGCTCTGCAATTTTCCGTTTACGTGCTGCAGCCTGATCGTCATTACGTTTGGATGGCATTCTTCTTCTGCGCATGACTTGACTTGACGACCTCATGATGTCGAATGACTACACTTTTATATATTTGTCGAAACCTTGGCGATATCTGCCGTTATGCAAATCAAAATCCTTGACAATCACTAGAGTACCATATGTGACACTCCAACATTCGGAGCACAATTTTTTGAAGACGTCAAAGCTCATGTCTGGGGAGACCTGTTCATCAAACACCTGCTTCAAGTTGATCTCGTCCTGTTTGAACAGCACCACCATGTTACAATTGTCTCTCATTAATTGCTTAGGAATTTTAGAGTAAGTTTGGCAAAGGTAGGCAGCATCGATATCTTTGTGTCTACACATTGAAAAATATTCTCGAATTTTTTGTTGCTCATCACACGCCACATCGTCAAATATGAAAATCGAGTTGGGTTTCGCCTCAGATGGGCTTATTATTTCATCGTTGTCTCTGTACGGAAAATATCCCACCTCCTTCACTGCATCCAACACCTCTTGAAGTAGCTGATATTTCGGTTGATACAACGACTTGGAGTACACGTAGACATTTTTGATTCTCGCGCCATTTCGATTGAAGAGTAACGATAGCATGGCGTTTGTCTTGCCACAACCACTCGGTCCACACATGATTGCTCGAAACAAGTTGGGTAATAATTTTCCATGTTTATTCGGTGTCCTTGTTGACGTGAGGAGGTCCAAATTTTCGATAGGTAGCGTCTGGTCTTGTTGAATGACTCTCATCTCGTGATAGAGGTGCAAAGACTCCAATGATTGTGTACAAGGGAGAGGGTGTTTTGAATTCTCTCATAAACAAATTACCATTAGAGGTACAGCTACCTGGTGGCTATCAATACTGTGGACGTAAGTACAAAAGTGAGGTTAGAGATTGAATAACTGATTTTGCGTTACAGCTGGAACCAAACTTCAGAAACGGCTTGCACGTGGTGATCCTGGCATCAATCCCTTAGACGTTGCCTGCAAACAACACGACATTGCATATTCACAGAACACGTCTTTGGAAGAACGTCATAAAGCGGATTCGTTGTTGGAGAACGCTGCCTGGGAACGTGTGAGGTCGAGAGACGCCAAGTTCAGTGAAAGAGCTGCAGCATTAGTAGTAACTTCCGGGATGAAGGTGAAACGCAAGCTCGGGATGGGATGTTCTTTCAAAAAACATATCGTGGGGAAAATCGGGAAGACGTTGAAGAAGAATCCCTCGACCAATTTGAAACAGGCTGCATCGTTTGCTTTGAAAGCTGCTAGGCATGCCGTTAAACAAGCAGGTGGAAAGAAAAAAGTTAAAATACCACGAATAATTCCTTTCGATGCCAAATCCGGTGGGATTCTACCACTGCTACCAATCTTTGCTGCTCTTGGTGCACTAGGATCTCTAGCTGGAGGTGCTGGAGCAATCGCAAAGACTGTCATTGACGCTAGGAATGCGAAGAAGAAGATGGAAAAAGACCATCGACATAACAAGGCTATGGAAACTATTGGCAAAGGACTGTACTTGAGAAGAAACGCCAAAGGAGGTTTCGGCTTGTTTTTGAAAAAGCAAAAAAACTTCCGATGAAGCTACCCAATCGACCATTGTATGATGTCGAGTTGACAAAGTATGTTAAACATTTGAGAATCCCACATTTTCGGGGTGATTTCATGCGTGACAACTTACCAAGCAGTGGACCCCGTCAACGCGAATCTGCAATCCTAAATTTGGACGTGTCAAAGAACCAAGGCACTCATTGGGTAGCTTACAGAAAGATAAATGATGTCGTCGAGTATTTCGATTCATTCGGTAGCCTGAAGCCACCGAGAGAACTTGTCCAATGTCTGGGCAAAGTCAAACTCTATTACAATAACGATCCATTCCAGAAATATAATCAAATCAACTGTGGTCATCTCTGTCTGAAGTTCCTGTACAATGGAAGCCGTTTTAGCATATCTCCACCGTGAGAAGGCGTTGCAAGACTTTTCCGCAGAAGAATTGGCACTCTTCCCCATCAACTATCTGATCCAACATGTTAGACCTTGGGAACTATTGGATGTTTGGCATAAATTACCACAGGACTATAGGAAGAACTTTGATCTGAGAATTCGTTTGCCTTGTTACATCCACTATAATAGACCTGATGCTCGAACCCACGTTGATGGCCCGGTCAGCTCACAGTTTGAATGTCATGGTTGTAATTATTTCTTGAAGTGTAGAGTTGTCTTGGAATAAATATTCATAAGTATAGCTGTGTGTCATTAGGTACGTCATGTCTCTACTGTTGACCTTGACGAGTACCACCAACCAGTTCTCTTTCACACCCTCCTCACCGATACTACTGCACCCTCTGAAAAGCTATTACATAGCTGTACTAGGATTTCACAGCTATCATTCCATACCGAATATTGATGGTGAAAAGTTCTACTACTACGAGAACGATAATCGTGAAGTGCTGAAAGAGATTCAGTTTCCGACCGGCTGTTATGAGATAGAAAATATTGAGGATTACATTCGGAGGCAAATTCAAGAAGCTGATGCAGATTTCACTTTGAAGCCCAACAACAATACTTTGAAGTGTGAAATCTATAGTCGACAACATACCATCAGTTTTGAGGAAGATAACAGCTTTGGTGAGTTGTTGGGATTCTCGAAGAGGATCTTGGAACCTGGCTGAGTTCACTGTTCAGATCGCCCTGTGAACATTCTGAAAGTATCAAGCCTACATTTCGATTGCAACATCACTGAAGGGTCGTTTTATGCAGACAGGCCTGCTCACACTATATTAAGCTTCCCCATCACCGTAGATCCTGGTTACGCTATCAACGAACGTCCAAATACCCCTCTCTATTTACCTGTGAGAAGTAGCCTGAGAGACATCACTAACATTACCGTTAGAGTGCTGGATCAGGACCTAAGACCTGTTAATTTCCGAGGAGAAAAGGGCACCCTACACTTGGACTTGCAAGAACGTTGAATGGGTCTAGTAGTTGATAATAAAAGATTAACCACAAACTCCTCAGTATCAACGGGACCTCCGAAGAGACAGGAGCTCACTCCAGAAAACGTTCTCTTTCTGCAAGCAATCGGATTACGAGTGAAAAATGAACAAGCGCAAGTATATTCGTTCGGAAGAATCAACAGCACCAACATTCAACCACACAAACCCAATTTTCGATCTGTATCGTCGGCCCAGATATGATGAAACCATTCGAAAAGAAGAATATCGCTCCTACATCCCATACGTCAAATCCTTCAATAACAATGATATGGTGGAAATCAACATAAATGAAGCAGACACATTTTTTGCAATGCACGAGTTTTTGCTGGAAATCAAAGGAACGTTGAATGTGCAAGGAGCTGGAAATGTGTACTTGGCCCCCAACTGTGGGGCATTTCTATTCGATTCTTGCAGTTATGTGCAGAGTGCAAGAGAGATAGAAGTAGTCAGAGATCCAGGGATCGTGAGTAGTGTGCGAGGATTCATGTGCTATAAACCTGATGATTCCAAACACTTATCCACAGCCGGATGGACGTATCCTGATAAACCGCTTTTGAATGCAATTGACAAGACATTCAGTTCGTTGATACCACTAAAGCACCTGTTCAACGTTTTCAATGACTACACCTCAATCACCTATGGAAAACAAACCATCCGACTGATTCGAGCTCGTAATGATAACGATTGCGTGATAGTACAGGAACTCCCCAATGGACCTACAACCACTACTACTACAGTTGAAGTACAAATACATAGTGTAGTGCTAAAAGTGAAGCACGTATTTCCGAACGATGAAATCGAACTACAACTGATGCAACCCATCAAAAATGATACACCTATACTGATTCCATTCAGGAAATGGGACCTCAGCCAATTGCCTGCTCTTACAAACGGCGCAAAAAGTGAAATTTGGGCAGTCAAAACGAGCGCTTCGGTGGAACGTCCTCGGTACGTTATTGTGTGCTTCCAGAAATCTAAACGTGACAATGCAGAAGCTGATGCTACCCACTTTGATAACACGAGTATAGCTAGTATCAGATTAGCCCTCAATGGTGAATATTGGCCTAATGAGAGAATGCAGCTGGATTTCGCTAAACAAGACTACACCCTTGCTTACTACAACTATACCAGGTTCTATTCGAGCTATTCACATTCGACGGAGGTTCACCCAATCTTGGATTATGGGGAATTCAAACAGCATGCATTATTTGTGATTGATTGCTCGAGGCAGGAAGAGACCATGAAATCATCGACAGTTGATATAAAGCTTGAAATCGAAGCCGATAAAGGATTCCCTGCTGACACCAAAGCCTATTGCATCATCGTACATGACTGTCTGCTAGAGTACTTCCCTCTAACGGAAGTCGTCAGAACCTTGATTTGAGTATATATACCAACTGCAAACTGCTCGAGCTCGCATTCGATCGTCAGCCGTCATGAGGATCGCACTTGTCGACATTCAAGGCTTCACTCTTGACAGTGTTTTCCACCCGAAAGAGCTGACTATTCAAATTGGCCGCCAGAGATCCAACTTCCTATTCAAACCGCCAACACCGTTTGTTACCATTAGTGGACGTGACAAGAAAACTACACGTTATGTGGAGAAATTCGTTCATGGAATACCATATGATGCTGGTGATGTTGAATATACGGAGCTGAACGACATTTTGGAAAAATATCTGTTGCATTCGGTTGAATGTATGTACGTGAGGGGCAATCAGAGAGCTGACTTTTTGAAGACAAAATGTGAAGAACTTGAAGTATTCCCAACTGTATACGATGTTGCTTTGTATGATGGAACACCCTGTTCCAGTAAAACCTACCAGCAAACTATATCGTACTGCCCCAACCACGCCAATGGAAAATATATGTGTGCCCAGCGGAACGTTGATCAACTTTACCAGTGGCTTATAAATGTAATATTACCTAAATGAAGATGTACTGTGTTTGGCTCAATAAACATTATGATAAGGATGGGAGTTTTATTGACACACCTTGTATAAGTTCCATCATTTTATTCACGATATATGTACCCAGCTTTCATTAGGCCTTTCACAATCAAAACGAACGTAGCTGCTAATGTCAAACCTAGTAATATGAACATTTTATTGAATTCATTCTGTATTCCTGTTGTGGGGGCTCCTATAGTTTGCCAGTTGGTATCCTCTTCAGATCCACCGGAAAACATCAACTTGAGTTTGAAGAAGGAATTATTCGTCTCTGGTATCTCTTTGTAGAATACTGGTAGACATCCATTGTTCACCAACTTATTTCGCATCGCTGTCCACGATGATCGATTGCAATCTTCTTTCGAGTCATTGAAACATATCGCCATGTTCTTGACATCGTTGGGAACATTTGTATACAATACGTTATTCAAAATTGCTGTCAGAAATATGAATGCCACCCGTGACATTTTGAGGCTGGATGTGTCGTCTCTGCTCAACAGGCACCTCTACTGCTGGTACTCTTCCACAGCTGCTGAAGACTTTATCCCACAAACTCAGATTCTCCAATTGATTCAATACTCTGGTTTTATCTTCGTACAATGTTATGTCTTTGTTCAGCTGTCGAACCCGCTCCCCAAATTCCTCCAACTTGCTTCTGTCCTCGTCCAAGGACATTGTAACACTGATTCAATGGTCAAGTCTGAATAGTGGTAGTGATAGCTACGCATGCGCACAGCTGATATAAGCTATTGGGCAGATTCGGCAAACACATCCAGTATCCATGATTGAATGGCTCGTGACAACAACAAGTTTGACAACATGTCTGTTGGATGACTCATCGGCCACCTGCGTCAGGACAATAGACCCATTGTTCTCACACAGATAAGGATGATGCAATCGGATGAGGTTGTTACGTAATCGGACACCTGCAAACAAAGGCGGCATTGTTCGACGAAGTCGAGATGAGGATGACTCATCGGCCACCTGCGTCAGGACAATAGACCCATTGTTCTCACACAGATAAGGATGATGCAATCGGATGAGGTTGTTACGTAATCGGACACCTGCAAACAAAGGCGGCATTGTTCTCGTATATTGCGTTGCGAATTATCCAATAGCCGGAATTCCAAGAAACGCTGACAGTGGCATAGAGAGAACAAAGGCGGCATTGTTCTAGAGGAAGGCTAGATAACATAATATGGCAAACAAAGGAGGCATTGTTCTATGAAGAAGAGATAAGGATGACTCATCGGCCACCTGCAACATGCATATCGGGTGACCTTGAAACAAAGTGCTACCAATTGTAGTAATACCAACCTAAATCTGGTGAGCACAGTCACTGGATTGTGACGTCATCCACCACTTTTCAAAAAGAAGAAGAAGAATGTCCACGCCCATAAGCACTAGAGTCTAGGGGGCTAAGTTCAGAGTACTTCCACGTGTCATCTGTCATTCCTTGTGTTCCATGTCATCTGTCACTTGTCTGTCATCTGTCACTCTTTATGTTCCATGCCATCTGTCACTCCTTGTGTTCCATTCCACCTGTCACTTGTCATATGCCACTTGTCATCTGTCACTTGTCACTTGTCACTTGTCATCTGTCACTTCCGTGCAGCCAACACCTTTCACCGCAGGAACGGTTGTGACGTCACTTCCGTGCAGCCAACACCTTTCACCGCAGGAACGGTTGACGTCACTTCCGGCGGCGGCCATCTTGGCCTGGTACCGGCCTACATACACTACTTTTGTTTTGAGAAATTTTTGGATAAAAGAAATCTAGATAAATTGAGAAAATATGGAATTTTCACTTAACTTTGGACGTTTCGGGAACGAATCTGCTCCCGTTTTCAACATAAAAATCACAAATTATTTTTCTTTGGAAATGGCCTGTTCGTGTGACACTTCGCAGTGAAATACTTTGATGTTGACATACAATGGTATTCACCACTGGTATACACTATACTGAAAACTGAACATGAAAATAGTAGATTCGAAATCAATTGACGAAAACATCCTGTAACCCATTGTATGTCAACATCAAAGTATGTTACTGCGACGTGACACACGAACAGACAATTTTCAAAGAAAAATAATTTGCGTTTTTTATGTCGAAAACGGAAGCAGATTCGTTCCCAAAACGTCCAAAGTTAAGTGAAAATTCGATATTTTTTCAATATATCTATATTTCTTCTCTCCAAACATTTTTCCAGACAAGGTGCCACAAATTATTGGATTTTTCTTTCAGGCTCTCTGATAGAAAAACTTTTAAAAGCAGTGACATTTTGGGGCAAATCATCAGATCTGTCCTACTACACGAATATTGGAATAATACTCATATTTTCATTTTCTAGAAACGAGAAAAAATCCCAAATAATCTAGAAAAATGAATGCTATTTCTCTCTGTTATGATGTTTATGGCAATCAGATACATATGAAATATCGATATATTTCAATGGATTTTATCTTCATTCGTGTAACCTGTCCATTAATTATATAATTTTGCAGTTCTCCAATATACAAGGTGATTCTAAAATAGGTGGTCAAACTTTGGGAGTATATATAGTGAGTGAAATAATTACGAAAACCTCGGTAACATCTTCTTCTGAAGCGCCCCCCAAGAAAGATACAGCCCCTCAAAGGGGGGCCTCGGAGAATGATTTTGTACTATTATCGCCAACACCTTGTATGATTAAAATCTAAAATTTCGTGTATCCACTAACTATTCAGTGCCGGTTCGAATAGAGTTGAAATCACCTCAAAATTAAATACAGGGGTGTGTCAAAACTTTGAGGTAGGGGGTAAAAATAACTTTTTTGTTCATCGCAATTTCAGTTTTTTTACATGAAATTATGAAATCTCAGGGCAATTAACATAGAAAAGGAGCTCTTGTTGGATCTCGATAAACTGAACCATTAGCGAATAAAATTTACTTTTCCAAGATTTCATTTGAATTGCAATTTTGGTATGCACTTTAGTTTAATCATCTAGTTCAAATCTTGCAACTGAATTTTCACCTACAATCGTCTGATCAACTTGGAATCTGGCAGATGAAAGTTGACAACGCGTTATGGACTTTTTGATAGAAAAAAATATGGCGGCTCCAATGTGGCTGACCAGATTTGTGATTATGGTTCGATTCGATTCAAAATTGGTTTGTAAGGGTTTTTGGGGTTCGGAAATTTTGAATTCATTGTCGGAATTGATGAATTAACAATAGACGACGAGTTTCGTGATTTTGGTCTGATCCTATTGAAAATACTAAAATGAAAAATATTGTTAAAAACAAGCTTTTTTTTAAATTTTATTCGCTAATAGTTAATTTTATCGAGATGCAACAAGAGCACCTTTTTCATGTAAATAGCCCTGAGATTTCATAATTTCATGTCAAAAAACTGAAATTGCAATGAACAAAAAAGTTGGGGTTATTTTAACCCCCTACCTCCCAATTTTGAGACACCCCTGTATTTTATTTTGAGGTGATTTTAACCTCATTCGAACCGGCACTGAATAGTAAGCGGATAGACAAAATTTCAGATTTTCATTATACAAAGTGTTGGAGATAATAATACAAATAATACGAAACATCCAAAAAAAAAAATTTTTGGTAACCATGAAACCGAAAAAGAAAAAATAATACAAATGTTTCTCTGATTTTTACTACTTGGTTGAGGTACGTATACTTTTAATCATTTCCATAATATCAAAATGTAAATTTGTATTTTTCAATTCACAGCTAACCTAACTCCACTGTTCATCATCATGTCGGCCTTACAATAAATTGACAAAGCCCATGGCCATGGGCGAAACGTTTTTATGAATTCCACCAATTCTTAATTTCACAAACGAATCCAAAACCCAAGAAGCCCCAAAAAAAAATAATACAAAATCATTCTCCGAGGCCCCCATTTGAGGGGCTGTATCTTTCTTGGGGGTCATTTCAGAAAAAAATTTTACAGAGGTTTTCGTAATTATTTCACCCACTCTATATGCTCCCAAAATTTGACCACCTATTTTAGAATCACCTTGTATATCCATTGATTTTTTTCCAGATCTCGTACCTACTGATTCCATGCAGGAACCACACAGTTCCAACTCAGAGTCGCCTTTAAGACGACAGTTTCTTGTCTTCATCGACAAAAAATGCATTGATGAGGAGGGGTATGAGAGTTTCATATTAGCATTCCAAGTTTTATTTTCGCTGTTTTTTATACTGAATATCCAGTATCCTCCGGATGCGGAATGCTCACTGGAATTCATCCAGCGTTATTTTTTGAAAATCCACCCAGACCAGGGGAGTAAGACGAAAAAAGTAGGAGTGTCTAGGAAGAAAGTTTTCAACTTCATGAACAGATTGTCCTGAAATGTGCTATGTTTCGAATCTGGAAATGCGATTTGAAGGAATTAAGAAAGGCTAGTATATAGAACATTTCTCACT